TAACGTTTATAGAGTATTATATACAAATCTTTAGAGGATCTCTTTAGAATTGAATAATTAAGTATAAGAATCAGTAAAACCGAAGATGTATTCTCTCGAATTATATCCCGATGGGAGACCGATTTTAAAAAACCTGTACGCACAATTTGCTCCTAATCGTACCTAATTGATACTTGTAGCATTTTTTTCCCAAACATTAGATTCAGATATTTTAATCTAAAAAAATGGAAAATTCTGATTTTTCAAAGACTTGAGAATAGTGAAAGGAAAAAAAAAGAAAGAGGAAGAGAGAAAGAAAAAGAATCGATTTTAGCTCTTGCAAGGCTCGTCATTTCCGGGTTTTTTCGCAGAGATCCCGTGCTTCTGTCTCATTTTTTTCCAAATGATGTAACGAACAATTAGACACACCTCTATTAGGGGGCGGCGAATCCCCTAGGGAGTGTTTCATCCGCCGGATGCTTTTATTAAGCCGCGTCGTATATGTATATACGCACTGTAAAAAAATTTTGTAAAATTACATTAAAAATATGTAAAATTACATAAATAATAAATGTAAAATTACACGATAAATAATGAAAAGGTAAACATTTTTATTATTTATCGTGTAATTTTACACTTATTATTTATGTAATTTTACATATTTTTGTGTAATATATTACATATTTTTTTACAGTGCGAGTTTAGAAAACGTGACACAAAAAAGACTATACTGTCTTATAAAAATTGTTAAAATTATTGCGATAAAGATTAATCGCGTGCCTTGCAGCATTTCTCCCGTAATAAGAACAGAATTCTTTGTGTAGATTGATATGCAGTATACGCTGTTTTTTAATTGATTGCGAAAAATAATTAGTTAAAATTACAGGGTGATCTACAACAAGAGTAAAAAAAACTTTGATAATTTGTTCGGAAGGTGATTTTAAACAAAAAAATGTTATATAAATAAATAAATTGCATTTCAATTAATGATAAAACTACAAGAGATTAAAGTCTTATTAAAGTGCGGTAATGAATAGTAGATTTAATATGTAGTTAAATTAAAAAAAACTAAACATTCTATTTGTAAGCATACAGTCATTATTAACATTATTTTATAATTTATAAATAGAATATATATTTTACTTTTTGAGAATTATAACTAGATATTTTTTTTTAATTATTATTTATTTCACTACATTAATATAACTTTGATCTCTTGTATAATTTTATGAGCATACAGTCATTATTGGAAAATAATTTATAAATAGAATATATATTTTACTTTTTGAGAATTATAACTAGATATTTTTTTTAATTATTATTATTTCACTACATTAATATAACTTTGATCTCTTGTATAATTTTATGAGCATACAGTCATTATTGGAAAATAATTTATAAATAGAATATATATTTTACTTTTTGAAAATTATAACTAGATATTTTTTTTAATTATTATTTATTTCACTACATTAATATAACTTTGATCTTTTGTAATTTTATGACTAATAATTAAAATAGGATCTATATTTATATAAGCTGTTCAAATTTTTTACACTCGGTGTAGATCACTCTCTTTCTCGCTCATGATGTTATGCACATTGCGACGGTCAATATAATTGCATAAAGAGCCTACCGCCACGTACGGTTGATTAATGCGAGCTAGATAGCTAGCCTTTCGTCGTCACATCTCTCTCTCTCTCTCTCGAGCTTCTTGTTTTGCTCGCCGTGCATGCATCTTGATGAGACTTGCCTACGATAATGACGCGGTGCATAAACGTGCCTCTTGAATTTTCAATCGCGCGATTAATGCGCGACAAGATATCTCTAAGTAGATTAATTTATTCTGTAGTTTTCGCTTTCCACGTGTTTCTACGTGTTTCCACGTTACGGTACACATTTATGATGTCATGTAACGCTTCTTGATTATTGTCAGTTCTTTGATCGTATTTTTGTCTGTTACCCGCACAAACATATTTGATGTTGAATTTTATTTTGACATATATAAAGTTAATTAAAACATTAGTGTCAACAAAAATATATGGATCAAAATTATTCTTAGTAATATATTCTGTCTTTGTATCTAAAATCTTGAAATATATAATAAGTTCTTCATAAAAAAAATTAAAAATATAATAATATAAGGAAGAATTAATTTTATACCTGGAATAATTATCTTTTGTTTAATTACTTAAAATTCTTAACCGACGTAATCTTCTACAACACAACGATTACAGATAAAAAAACATCTGCTGTTAAATAATCAAAGAACTGTAATGCGATCGTTGATTACTCATAGATAATGTAACTTTAAGTAACAATTTACGAAGGAATATTATGTATATACAAATATATACACAAGATGGGGGAATTTCACTTCATTGCAAAACCAGCTCTCCGAGCTATAAAATAAATAACATATGTCCCCGACTATGAACGCACTTTCTGTTTGCGAATTACATATTAAAGATTATAATTTGCGATTTTGTAATTCAAAGTGTAAAAAATACATGCTGCATTATTAAGCAGTATATCACGAGAATATATGTAAGAGATGACTTTTATGCATATTACATACATATATCGTAAGACTTCCTTTCATGTCATCTTATCAGAAGAAATCTAATTTTAATGCTTGGTTTTGAGGAAATATATTTTTCAAAAATATTGGGTTGACTCATAAATAAGTTCCATTATAGATAAATACTCAGATAAAGTAATTACTTCGTCTGAGAAACTGTGTTCCTAATCAAAATGAAACATTCGCAGCAAATGTAATCGTGTAACAAGAGTACAAGAAAAATTTCCAAAAAATAACGACCAGTCCTTATCAATTGCAAAAATGTGATTTTGTTATAAAATCATGTACGGTTATAAAATAAATAAGCCAGAAGAGATTTTGTGGTCAATTCTATCTTATCCTCGTTATTCAAATTTGCATCACAGATCACTTTAAAATTTATTAAATGGAAACAATTTTCTCAATAATGCTCAACGAATTTGTAAAAAAGACTTTTTGCATCAGAACTTTCAAAATTCTTGAAAGAAAGAATTTACAAATTACCATATAAATAAGTTAACAATTGTACTTAATAATGGAAAATATATAATATAATAAGATTAAAACTTATTATAAATCATTTAATTTAAATGTCAGTTAAAACGAAACTTATTTATGAATCAACCCAATACATACGTGCGTAAATTAAAAATTAAACGCAAAAATGTGTGCACAATTCGTCTTTTTTTTTCTCGAAGAGAATGATGTGCCTTTAATTGTTTATTAAGCTTATTGTTAACAATCTTTAATAATATTGCATTTTGTCATATCATCAAAATCTTCTCACGTTTATCTCCCGTATTCGACAGATTTCTTCTTCGCGAGTCCGTGTGAATTTTAAGAAATCTCACCCGCAATTGCTATTGCAATTAACTAAGACAAAGAGAAAAGCCAGTATGTAGTCGGCGCGATTAAGCAACGGCTACTAAAAACCGCGACGCGTTTATCTGGGGAGTGGAAAGAAGCGCAGACAGCTGATTTATTATAAGTAACGACGGGAGTAATCGCGCCCTAATCGACCGGCAATTAACTTCGCGTTTCCAATTAACGAAGTAAGCCACAATTTTGTATTTTTCGTTGCGATCTCTGCGAATATCAACGTGCCCGATACAGTCACTATACTTGCACTTCACGTTACATTATATCAATATTAAACGATATATTATGTTAATATCAGATGGCAGCTGACGAAAAAATTGGAATTATTATCCTACTGACTTTTATATTTAAAATCTTGAAATAATGAAAATAATGAAAATACATGATAATATGAAGAATAATATTTTAATAAATGATATTTTGTTTAATTATTGAAAACAATTTAAGAGAATAATCTGATTTTACAGTTTCCAACGGTAAGTGTATGAGTTGCACAGGTTTTTTCTTGGTATATCTCTTTTTTATTTCGCGAGAACTATACGATTTCAAATCTTGACATTAATTTTCACCATCCTTATTTCACACGACCGCAAAATTCAAACTTAGAGCCGATTGTTCAAACTTCTTGGTAAAGTTTATCCGACGGATAACATACATTCGTCTTTTTTTAATTTATCTGAAAAAGATCAAGATATATGCTAACATATCTGTCAAAATTTATCGAGAAGTTGAAACAACCGACTTTAAAGACGTAGAGTAAATAAAAAAATAAAAAATAAAAAAAACAATAAATAAAATTTAAAACTTTATCATATTAGAATTGAATATAATTTTTAACAATTTATTCACATTGCAGGAAAAGAGAAAATTTCTAGGAAAGGTATACCTATACTAAATTCTTTCAAATGATGAAATTTGAACACAAAGCAAATCTGCTCCAACAATATACTGCATATAAAATACACCGATTAGAGTAGAGAAAATATTTGTCATTAATAACAAGAATTATATCCAAGTATGGCTGATTGAGGCACGCACGGATCTCGCGAGGTCGAGCGAGCCAAAAAGCCTCCGGGACCCTGTACACAGAGGCAGTCAGTCCATAAGTCAGACTCAAGGCGGCGGGATACCCGAAGATATCCGTGAGGAACGACCTGGCGCGCCTTCTTATCCACGTCCGATCTGGTCGGACATTATAGTCGCGACAAGGTGGAAAGGAGCCGGAGGCTAAGAGAGAAAGAGAGACGGAGCACCCAAGAAGAGAAAGAAGGAAAGGGTTTGGAAAAAAATTGGTATAAAAATCGATCTCTCGAACGTGGTCGCCGCCTCCTTGAACGGGGTTTCCATACGTGGGCGTCATTCGCTCCGCCTTTGAAAGTCACCGCGATTCGATCCGCCTAGTCCGGTCGCCGACGCGGTTCCCTGGACGATCCCTCTCCGGGTTTGCATACCCGATTCTCACTCCTCCTCGTCGATCGCGATCCCATCCCTTCCTGGATTCTCGACCCTACCCTCGTCGGTATCGCCTTTCCATGTTGCGGTAACCCTCCCGTTCCTCGTCTCTCGCGGCACCAACCTCGAGAGGTGACTGTCCAGGACAGTTTCAGAGACGCAGTCATCGGCTGCACCACGTCTTGGAGGCGCAGTCCTGTGTGTTGCTTCATATACACGAATACTGACGCGAATGTGCACGCGTTTTAGATTCCGCGGGTCGTTCATGGACCTCGGGAGATCGAAGGAATCAATCGCGATGGACCAAAACTGAATCAAGTTGAACTGGAATTGTCGAACTTCAACCTTCGAGCGTTCGGACTACTGATGAGTTGGGGGTAAATGGAAGTGTATGTTCTGATATTACGAAGGTGTCATTTCCAAGTTTTGTGACGAGCGTGTTGATGCGATGAAGAGATCCCTTTAGAATCTCGACAGTGCACTCGAATTTAATATAAACATTGTCTCGGAGACTATGCAAGTGGATTAAATGGACGGACCTAAAATATATAACGTTCCGGTAGAATTGAATTATTGTTTAAAAGATAGAAGAGTCTCATAAAGTTTGATGGATTTTTCAAATCCGGATATTAATGCATTGCTTTAAAAGTAAGGAGAGAGAAAAAGATCATTTGCGAATAAAAATTCAGTTTATATCTGATCGTATATCGAGAAATAATATTTGTATAAACTTTTAAATCTTATCTGATAAATATCGAAGATAGATCAAGATTATGAAAAATTTTTTGTTGATAATGTGACGGGGTCTAAAATAAAAGCTATGCGGAAGAGAATGAATGTCCTTTTTCAAAAATAACAAAAATTTCTCTAGAACTGATAATGATCTTAAAATCTTACAAATAAGACCTTTATGGTGACTCATTGTCAGTGCATATGGTATGCCAACGAATCTTCTTTGAAGACTGATGTTTTTGTTTTGTTGACTCAGAAATAAGCTGCGAATAATTGTGAAATAATTGCTGATCATAACTGATAAAATACTTCGCAAGTGTTCATTCCGACAAAGTTTCGATATGAAACAAACTAATTATTAAATCGTCGAGTGTTTCCGAATTCATCAATTAATGTAAAGCCGGCGAATATATTTTTTTACGAAAGAAGAAATTAATTATTTCATTAGCGAAAGAGTGTAAAGTGACACGGTGTCGTACTCTATTAAATTATAGAAGACTATAAATATCATATGTTTATCCTGCTACGAAGAGAGAGATTTCCGAGCCAAATAAATTCCCATAGGACGAAAATGTCAAGCGTTGACTGAATACGTGAGTACTATAATCATATTTTTGACGATAACGAAAGTTTTGAAAATAATTTCTATTTTTTTTTTGTTCCGGAAAAGAATATCTATTATATGTTATCAACAAAAAACAGCATATTATAAATTTATAAATTATTTACTAAAAAGAAAGGAAAGAGAGATAATACATCGCGAACCAATAAGTCTTCTCCTTTTCGCCTATTTAATCACTCTTCATTGTTATTTATATATGATAAATAAAGTCGAGTCGCGATCGGAAATTTAATCAATATTAAATTCGTATTTAAATAATATTAAATTAAATAATAAATCATCGAAGAGAGAAACGCGAGACATAAAATTAGTGTGGCCGGAAATGCGGCGGTGATTTCGGCGAATTGCGATTATTATATTCAAGAGACCAAGTCCGTGATAAGGATGACCGTTGCGTTTATCAGGATGCGAGTTACATCGCGATTATAATGTATTTAGTATATAAATATGTGTAAGACTATTTTTCTTATCTTTGTCACCGTTTCCGCATATTGACGTTCATTAGTGATAATAACAATCGCGATAACTCACGTACAGAAACAGTATTACTGTACATCTGTAAAATTTCTCATTTAAATAAAAGTAAAAAAGTAAAAAAATATTTAAAGAAGTATCTTAAAGCTCATTTTTGATTGATTGCAAATATATATATATATATTTATTGTTATCATGAACTGTGTTTGGATCGATAAAATAATAAAAATTGATTATTTCATAATTAAAATTCATTGAAGTCAATTGTAAATGACAAATAAGGAAATTGGCACTATCTTTCTTATGCCATTTTCACTAATAAAATATAATTTTTTGGTAGAATTTATATTATCGCTATGGTTGATTATTGCATTAAAACAATTTACATCATTTGCGTAATAATAATCAAGAAAATATTCGTATATTAGGTTCAAAATAATAATTGCATTACAAAAATATTATGTTATTTGTATATTAAATATATTGCAGTAAAACAATGATTGCAATGTTTTATTTTACTCAAAAAAGCACGTTCATTATTTACAATTATATTTAAACAACACTTAAATGAACTTTGAATTCGCGATATTATATGTCGGCAATTATACGTCGCAAAGTAACAAGTTTATTTACAAATGACCCTACTTTTAAAAATAATATATTACTCGATTAAACATTTTTTTCAAGAATATTTTTAAGGGCCATTTTAAGGCTCTTTTCGTCACATTCGATATCAATATTGAATTGATGATGCGAATTAATATTAATCAGATCGAGAACAATGCGTAGATTTTTTTGCGTTTTGATTTTCCTCAGGCACATCTTTCCGCCAGCGATTATATTATTAATAATATATAACAGAAGATTTTCTTGTTCGGTTGTGCTTTTTTACACGTCCTCGATCAAAGAGACTAATTGGTGTGTATCTTTACTCGGATTATATATATCATATTATTATGCAACGCTGATAATTTTCGCGACATTGATGAGACTTTTGTGTGTATCTGTGTATATATGTATGTGTGTAGGTAGGTGCGGAACGCCGATAATTATTATTCTCGATAATTATCAATACTGCTTTGCGTATTGAAATATATTGCTCATACGGTGTTGCGGTTCTCATTCGCTGAAAACTTGCTATTTTATGACACGAGTATTGGGATTCGCGTGACAAAATTATCAGATAATCCAGAAAAATGTGATCAACAGTTTATTTGCGACTCTTGAAACAGTAAGAGCGATCTAATGTTAGCTACCGATAAGATTAATTATCAATTAAAATCTCATTTATTATAATTAATTATGTAAAAAAAAGCTAAAAAAACAGATGTCTTTTGGTTCGATATATAGATATAAATAATTAAATTTAAAGATTATATATCTTTTCTTTTTTTATTATATTTTATATTCTTTTTATTATATTTTATATTTCTCTTTTATTTTATTTGTATCTTAATTTGTGCAAAGACTATAACTTTTGAGAATAAAATGAACAATCGCGCAAATTTTTCTCAAGTGTAATAATATGTGTTTTGCTGTAATAGCGATGAATATTAGATGCACGCAAAAAAGTACCGCGATATAAAAATAGAATAAATAAATTATATATAGGTATACAAATCGATCCGATTTTTAAAGCAGTGTAGGCCGAATTGCATCGGAAAAAATAAACGGCTTCACAAATTTTTCTCAAAAAATTAATACACGTTTCAAATAATTTAATAAAGAGAAAAAATTGAAATACCATAACGCTGTAGCGAATAAAATGACGAATATAAAAGTTTATCGCTCCACTCACACACATTCTCGTTGCAGTTGCAGTTGCATTATGTGTGTGTGTGTGTAGATTCTAGACAAGGAAATAGTTTAATACATTCTTCGGAGGAACACGACGGTCGTCGATAAATCAAGAATTGCTCGACGCCGCAATATCGGTTAACGGTTATTACGATCGAGAATATGAAATATTTTACTGCATGGCATGACATTACCGCCGCATCTGGTGTAAGCGATACAGTCACGAGCTACAACCGTCACAATTCGTTATCTAGTGTCCGTTGTTATCTGAAACGCGAAATAGGAAACAATGCCTCCGTCTATGAACACGATTTTTTCGCTCGTCGACTCTTAACACTTTGCATGTGAAAAACGAATTAGAAATAAAACTGTAAGTATGTAACTATATAAAATTGAAATACGCGTACAAATTATAGTTAATGAAAAATGCAAGCTAATCGTGTAAAATATATAGATGCATATGTACACAAATTTTTATGGTAAAATCAAAGAATATTTTCATAATTTTGAGTATTTATTCAAAACTATACATTCACAATCAAAATTTATAAAATAAATATAATTTGAATAAATATACATAAGTATATATTTATTCACAATTATGAAAGAAATATTCCTTGACATACAATAAAAATTTATCGTTTATATAGATTATCGGAGGTATTTCCAAATCTTTTAAAATTAATAATACAAATATATCAGTTGAGTTGAATTTTACCGTTTTGCGTGAATAAATATTATGTTAAAGTTATAATATTATTAAATTTGGCGAGAATTCCTGCATCATATAATTGATCTGTCTTCGACCGCGCGATTAACTTTAAATCAATACGACATTAAATAAATATACATATAATAATAATAATCATACATTATAGACACAAATAAACACATTTCTCATCGATATCATTAGCGAACAGATCCGTACAGCTGGCGGAATCATAGCATCCATAAATATCGATTTATCTACAGAGATGCTGTGCCAGACATCGTCAATAATCCAGCATCTGCTGCACGAGATACTCTCCAGCGTCGCCATTGCGATGTCTGGAATCATCCCGTTACCTGAATATTTTTCACTTCTTTTTTTTCCATTCAATCTACAATTTACCCTCTAGCCTTTCTTATTTTACGCGTGATAATTAAATAAATTAAAATCGTTCTATCAGTTATGATCAGCTGTTTTGTGAATTTAGCTTCACTTTGTAAATTTTAATATAATTAAGGAAATTTTTATTCTTTTTCAAAGAGTTTCAGGATTTCTGAAACTTGGATTTCAAGAAAACTTTAAAATTAATTTTATCGTCCACATAAAAACAGAGAGAGAGAGAGCGAGGTTAATTATTCTTTACAGGTTCACTGTGCAATTAATGAATAACGTGCGAAATCTAGGCGTATTCTCGTATTCATGAAGAGGTAAAATGTTAACACGGGTAAAGTGACTTCGTTTAACGAGTAGGCGTAAAATTGATTCCCGAGTCTCGGACCCCGAGAGACAAGAGGCTCGTAAAAATTACGCGTCAAGATAGATAATTAGTCGGCGAAACTATTGTTGCAGGTTTTAACAACACGGGCAGACCGTATCGCGGTGCGGGAAATAGCTGTTTAGATAAAACTTGTGCGATGGAAGAATGACGGTGCCGGCATATTTCGATGTACCACGATAAGTATTCATGAAGTTATCGTCGACTCCTTTAACATTGTCCTGTCTATGCAGGGCGTGCTATCTTTTCTCCAGCGGGATATTAACGATAAACGATATCTATGCGTTATTCACTTTCGAAATTTCATCCATCATATTTTTCCACAAATAGACTACTTTTCCAGAATACTTTTCTGATCTTAGATTTTTATACTTTTATAATCGAATATCTCTCTTTCGAATAATTCTTTTGAATGAATAAATTATAATTGCATACCAAATAATTATACGATAATAAAAAAAAATAGGAGAATTTATCGAATTTTTTTGGAGGGAAAGCGTTTCAAGTGCATAAAACAGATTACATAAAAATATATAAATAATTGACTGACATAATTAATAAAATAATTAATGTAAAAGCGTAGAAATTTCAATTCTAAAAATGGTTTATAATCGAATATTCGATGACACTATTTGTTTGTCAAACCAACATTTCTCTCGCCTAAAAATGACACGTTAGAAATCAGATGTCACGTCTAAGAAATGTTTTTGTCTCTCCTCTGTATAAAAAAAATGCTTTACGAGGACATGCATACGACTATCAAATGCTCATAAAGCTCTTACCATGGAACAATAGTTATCAGTGGTATCGCAATATGCACCACTAGTTTTCGGTATCGGGCTTTTTATCCCAACATGCGGGTAAAACGTCACTTTTGACCCTCTTGTCCAGTATCGAACTAAACGATGATAAATACAATTAAAAAAGGTAAAAATTTTCTCTCGACCGAAATACAATTAAATTTGTTTGACACTTGTCAAGAGCTACTATCAATGTCTCAAATAGAAAAATGCTAAATTAAGAAAAATTTAGAGAATGTGATTATAATATGATTTATATATATGTATATAATATTAAAAAGAAAAAAAGATATACATATTATAATTACATTCTCTAAATTTTTCTTAATTTAGCATTTTTCTATTTGAGACATTAATAGTAGCTCTGCACTTGACAAGTGTCAAACAGATTTAATTGTATATATATATATATATAT